TGGGCCAGTGAAGCAGCGTCCTCCACAACTAGACAAGAACAAAAGGACAGCAACTTGTCTGTTCCCCTTCCCCCAATTCTCCAGCACTGTTCCCATCCCCCCAATTCCCCAATAAAAATCTTTAAAAAAAAAAAGAAAAAGAAAATTAATATTTCCATTATCCTCTAAAGTTTTCTCCCCTTCCTCTCCTCCCTCATCCCCACATCCCCCATTCCCAGGCAACCACTGACCTGCTTCCTGTCAATTAGCCTCTTAATATAGTGAATTACATTGATTAACATTTCAATCTCTTAGAAACCTTGCATTCTTGGGATAAGTCTGTTTTATGATGTACTATTCTTTTATATGTTGGTAGATTTGATTCCCTAAAATGTTAAGAATTTTGTATGTTTATGTTCATGAGGCATATTCATTGATAGGTTGTTTCCTGAAAGTCTATAGTTATCTTCTTTAAGAAATTAAAAATGTGTACAGATATATGCAGTAAAGCCTTAATGCTTTGGAACCCATCCGTTTAGAATATATGATCATTTGAAAATTATTCCTGATGTTGGCTTTGTATTATCTTTAAAGAAAGTGAAATAGTAGCCTAAATAAGACTGTTGGGAATTATGATATGCATAAATTGATTAAAAAGCAAATTCACCATTAGAATAATAATTTTATAAATTATTCCATTAACCTGTTATTATAAGTAATCGTTTTATAATACAAAGGTATTTCTTTTTATATAAATAAAAATATGTACTCATTAAAGGAAATTTGGTGCATACAGGCAAAGGATCAATTTCTTGTGTCAGATTATAGGTTTATACCCTTATTAAGGAATAACAATTCATAGCATTTGTTGTTTTTAAGCTCCATCAAGATGTCTCTACAAGAGTATCTTCATTGTGCAAGCCTTAGAGCCTCTTGATGTCACAGTTCTCATCAGACGTGATTGTTGATTTGATGATGACCTGACAATTTCCCTGGGAAACCTGCAGCCTGTCATAAGCTAGGACATACCTGCGGATAGTTTCCAAGGAATGTCTCCTCTCATTTTATGTGATAATTTCTCCATTCTTGAGTTCTTTGAGTCATTTCTTATACTTTTCATTTATCAGTTAGTATTGGGATCAGGTACTCATAAAAGAAATGTCAATCTAATATTGGCTTGCACACAATACTTTTTTTTCTCTCAGAGGAAGTAAGCCCTGAGGTAGGTGATTTCATTCAAGTGGATTCACAGCATATGATCCAGGCCACTTCCATCTTTTTTCCTTCTCTGTCATTGTTAGTGGGTGCTAACATTGTTAGTGCCTTGTCACTTCATGATCCTAGGTGGCTGCTGAGCCTTGAGACAATTCCACTGCATTCCAGGTAGTAAGAAATGGGCAGGGGATAAGCGAGATCCCCTCCCAGCTGAACTAGCCTTCCTCAAAATAAGTTTTCTGAAACTCTTACTCAACCACCTGCATTTATTGTCCTGAGCCAGAGTGAAGTTTTATGGCCTTATCTAGCTTCAAGAGAACGGAACATTTATTTGTTTTAATGAAGAAAATTGCTAACTCAAAAATAGAGTTCATTTGTTTAGAACTAAGAAAAGGCGACCATCGGAAGTACTGATTGTTTCAAAAGCACGTCATACAACCAAATATAACCAAGCTTTACCAAGTAATTTTCACAAGAAAGATACACGAGTGGTATATTTTTAAACCATTGCAGAGCTGTGAAACTATTTCTTTTACTTTCACACATAAAAAGTAATTTCAATAAGTATGTGATTGGGTCATAAACATTAAAAAAATCTCAAAACACTTGAATATGTTGCTTCGTTATCATCACATTCAGCATTTTATTCAAGCCTGAAAGCCAGGCTTAGTTTTTCCTTTCTAAGTAAACTGTTCCAGTTGTTGCTTTGGTCTTGTTTTGTTTTGTTTTCTTCCTCTGTACAAATAAGACTTATTGATTGGCACATAGAATTTATTTCGCAGTATTGTTGCCTGCTAATATTTTGTCATACAGAAGTGTATAGTACAAAAAGTAATTATTTGTAGCTTCCTGAATAAGAAGTCTTAATCTAGGTGTAACATTTTCCATGGAGAAATAAAGCGTTTCTTATTGATGGAGGGATATCAAATACCTTTGCTAAAATTTTTAACTTGTCTTTATACTCTTGCCTTGGTATTGGAAATCATCCAAAGAAAATTTTCAGAAAACCTGCTACACTACCTCTAAGGTAGTGCCCCAAAACAGATGTACTCCATTCTCTCTGAAATACCTTGGCTCAGAAATGGAATTAAATTCTATCTGCTGACTTAGGAAAATGAGTAAATTGTCCTTACATTATTTATCTACACTATGTAGAGAGTAAGAAATATGTTTTCTTTTTCTGCTTACTGTAAGGCCATCTCTTCAGAAACACTTGGCTCATAATTAATGCATAAAGTTACTAAAAGTATTAGAAACTTACCAAAGTAATGTGTATTATCTTACTCCATGAGATACCTATTGCTACATAAAAAAACAACAACCCAGAATTTAATGGATTAAAACAATAACATTAATTATCTCACAGTTTCTGTGATTCAGGAATCTAGGCATGGCTTAACTGATCCCTATGCCTTAAAATTCCTCAGAGAGTTGAGACATATTATCCTATGGATAAAAACAAGAGGAAACATTTTATAGATTTATCTCAAGTGGAAAAACATTGCAATGAAACACTAAGCATATGTACATATGTTTTTTCTCATCTTAATTATATTTTCTTGGATCTCTTGCCTTTCGTTTTTGTTTTTATTGCTATATACAATGAATAATTGCTATAGTAGTGGTCCAAAGAGTGCTCTTTCAATATTCTTTTACTGCCTCCTGAAGAAGCAGAGCAGCCATAGAATAAATTCAAGTGTCAGGAAATTAGTTTTATGAAAATATCTATATTGTCTTGAACTTTCAGAAAGAGCATTCTTGAAATATGGTACCCAAACTAGCAACTTTGTATTCTATTTGATGACCTAGAAAGACATGTTAAAAGTTTTACTCAATTTGTATATTTATTATTGGACTGTTTTCCATATAGTTATAATAAATCTTTTTTATTTTTCTCTCTTTTTTGCTACTGTTTTTTGAAATAGACTAAGATGCTTAGTGAAGCAGCTGGAAAAAGGTGATGTTAACGTCATAGACTTAAAGAAGAATATTGAATATGCAGCATCTGTGTTGGAAGCGGTTTATATCGACGAAACAAGGTAGGTTTTAACCTCCTCACCCTTTTATCTTCTTTGCCGCTCTTTTATCATCTTTGCCTCTCTCCCCTTTTTCCTCTTTCTTGACTTTATCTCAAATATGAATTTAGCATGTCTTAGTCATGAAGCCAAAATCAAATCTTATTTAAATTTAAAAAGTTCTTCTTAATGTAGCCATTTAACCGGACTATGATATTTAAAAATAAAAAAAAATTACACATTTTAATCCAAATGCTTGAATACCAAGAAGTAGTCAAAGAATATCGGTAAAGTCATAAAATGAATAAGTTGAAGTCTCCTGTCTCCCTACCCCCCAAGGTCCTTAGGCCCAGATTTCTAAATGTCAGAAACAGATGTCAGTTTATACTGATTTTTCAGTGATGTAAGGATTTTCCTGTTATCTAAAGATTTCAGCGTCCCTTCTGATAAAATGGGTGTCACATGCCCACACATTCTTATGAGATGTATCTATCAGACCTTCTGTGCAGGGCTTACTAAAGGGCAGTCTCAAATATGTATTTGATCATCCCATAAACCTCACCAGCCAGCTTCCTCATAATTGGCAGAGTGGTAAGGAAATTAGGAAACGGGGATTTATTTGAAGAGGGATGTTAGCCTAGTGCTGTGGCTCTTGCTCAGGCTAGTTGCCTTCCAGGGGGCATTCGGCAATGTCTGCAGATATTTTTGTTTGGTTGATGGGGGTGTGCTACTGCTATGTGATGGATAGAGGCTAGGAATGCTATTAAACATCCCCCAATGCACAGGAAAATCCCCCACAACAAAGAACTATCCAGTCCCAAGTGTTAATAGTCGGAGGTTAAGAAAGCCTGTCCTGAAGGGAGAACTGTGCATTTTCTCTTTCTTCTCTTAAGGGGTCACTTACCTCTGACCTCAAGTCACGGGAGGGCACCCTGAGAGCCCCAGTGCTAATAGCAGACCCAGTGAACAGTTCTGGGGAGTTCTGACCAGTGTTGTTAGGAGTTCAGAGAGTACTGAGACTGTTTCCTGACTCTTATTTCAAAAAAAGATGAAGGTAGCAGGCTGATTAGGACTACACTGAATTCCCAGTTAAGAGGGACCCTGTGGAGGGAGAGACGCGCACTTCTGAAGTTTAGAAGAGAAAAGGCTCTGAGTTTTTCCAAAGTCACGAGGCAGGTGGAGTAGAGGTCTTTTGAAGAGATTGACCAAATAATACTGACTTCAGAAAGTGAACAAGAGGTTGCATGGGTGTGATTACTGATATAAGAACCAAGGTAGGAATCATAAAACTCAGCCTAAATATCAGTGTAGTGAATTGTCACTGAAGGACCCACAAAAGCTGCCCAGAAGTAAAACTAACCAGCATTTGAGCATTTGTCACACAGATGACAACAAACACACTAGTCTTATAAGACCCTTTGACCCCTGTAATTTCCTGCCTCATCCCCCTCCCCCCACAGCCCACCACATCCTGAACAATGACAAATAGCAGAGTGAGTGGGACAGGAGAGGGAACATGGAGACTGAAGCATCCATCAGACCCCTTCACTTCTGCAGGTGTCTGTGCCTGGGTCAGGCCCGAGCTTGGGAAGCTGAGACTGAAGTTTGGATTTTTTGGTGTATGCTGGGCTTAAACACACACACACACACACACACACACACACACACACACACACACACACACATTATTGTTTAATAAGTAATCAATTCACATGATTAAAAAATCAAAATAAAGTAAAAAGGTGCCTCAGGAAAGTCTTGCCTCCATCCTTCACCCAATCTCTTCAAATTCCCAACTCATAGATTTTCTATGTATATTTCCAATGATTTATTACAGATTTTTATCTCATGTTTTTCCTTTTTCTTTCAAGATAGCATACAATATACACAGGTTTTCATTTTGCTTTTTTTACCCCTAAGTAAGGAAACCTGAAGATCTTCCTATATCACATACTGAACTTTTTAATACCAGACAATGAGAAATTTCATTAATAACTGATAGAAAAGAGGCATGGCAAGGGATACGTTGCACAGGTAATTTTTTTTCTTTGTCCTCAGAATGAAACTCCTCGGTTAAAGCATGGTTTAGAGTCATAAATTAAGAAAAAAATATACATGACAGGCACACTTTTAGACTATAAACTCTAGGCAGAATTGTTTTCTTGGTTAACGTTCACTGAATGGTTATAAATGCATCTAATTTTCCTAAGTGAACAGAGATTCAAAGTGTAAACTTAAAAAAATCTAATGTTGCTCCTATAATTTCCTTGCTCTTTCATTTTCATGTGCACTCTTTATGGTTCACAAATTGACTGAACTCAACCTGTTAAATGTCCTTTACATTTTATTTTTTGTATTATTTATATAAAGAATGTTTAAGGATTATTTGGGTATTTACATTTTTTATCTTATAATGGCATATAATGGCATAATGCTAATCATATGGTTTGCCTCAGTGTCTTGTTTTTCATTTTGTAGATTATTACATGCAATATTTATTAATTTTTCTGTTGTATTTACTTTCCCAGAGGGTTATAATTTCACAGATATTTTGTCAACTCAGTTCCCCATGATCCTTGATTCATTTAAACATGTGTTACATTTCAAAGTATAGCTGCTTTTCATTTGAAAATTGCTCTTGTGTGGGAAGAAAAATGTTAACTGCTTCATGGTGAAATTGTGGGGTTTTGTTTTGTTTTGTTTGCTCTTTACAAAAAGCATCCCAGCTCTTAATACCACATCATTCCCAACTTTTACTCAAATCCCACAAAACTACACTATTTTATTTTAATGCTTCCATGCATCTATTAATAATTATACCCCACATCTATACCACCTTCCAAGGACTCTTAGCTTCATTGCCTCACATTAGTCTCACCACAATCCTATGCGGTTGACAGGGTAATCATTACTTTCTGCACTTTACTAACAAGAGTTCTAAAGCTCTCAGAAGTAAAATGGTTTGCCAAAGCTCACAGACATAAGCATGGCAAAACTGGGACTGGAAACTAGGGTACGACTTCGTATTGATTGCTCTTCCCTCTCCAAATGGCTCCTCTCAGAGTTTTACTATTAAGCTGGTTGGTTTTTAATTGCCTCTGAAAGATTTAGATGACAATGTGTAAAACTTTCTGATAGTTGGAACTGTAAATTCTGGAAAAATAATGCGTTACATTTATTACTAATATCCTATGATTATGTCCTGGCATGTGCCAACGATTCTCTTAAGCATTTTAATGCACTGTGTTATTTAATCATCCTATTAATCCTATAAGATAGAACTTTTATTCATTACCATTTTACGTGTGAGGAAATAGAGTCACAGACAAATTACATAGCTTACCCAAAATAGCAGAGAGTAACTTAAATAGTGGAGTTAGGGTCTTGGCAGCCTGGCTCTAGCGCCTGGGCTATAGAGCAACATTCTCATCTGCATCCCTTTAGTAACATCTGACCAAAAGGCTATTTCAGAGACTTACTGGAAAGTTTTGATGAACAGTCACATGCTTTCAGATTTGTCAGATCCAGTGGGGTGCCCACTTTGGTTGCCTCTCTTCCCAGTTCTGCCTTAAGGGCTGTCACATCAGTTGCTTTAAATGGGCTTCAGTGGAAGTATTCACACCATGGAAACTGGAAAATAGTACAAAACAGATTTTTTTTCCTGGAGAGCCTGTGGTTAAACATTGATGGTGATGCCACTGGTAGAACCTAAGATTACCTTGTATATATCTTCTAAGTCTAGGACTTCATGATGAAAATATCAGCTCAAGAAATTTTAGAACAATACCTGATGTAGTTTGATTCCCTATAAACTTAGTGAGACATACAGCAGTAAACAGGCTGTTTATGTTGAGATGTGTATATAATTATTAAAATTGCATTTGCCTTAGGAATTTTAGTAAAACAGATGATTTAGAAGGAGGAGGGGTGAAGAAGTATTTAGTTGCTTTTAAAGTGTAAAAACCTTCTGACTTCTGAGATGTTTTTTAATGGAAAATTCTCTTTCTAGAAAAAATGTCTCAGTGAGTATTTCAGAGAGGCACTTTTTTGAAATTTGGACTTGGCTGCATTAAAAGGTCAACACATAATTAAGCAGGATGAAACAGAAATTATGAATTAGTTTAACACACACACACACACACACACACACACACACACACACACACACACCCCTACCTTTTCCTACTAAGCCTTAGTAACTGCAGGGTTTCCATTAAGAAAACAAATCGAAACAAAAATCTCTCTTGAAAGATTATTTGAGTGAAAAAAATAAAAACAGAGTTTGGATAGAATTTGAATTCTGACCTTCTCTGAGGGATTATAGCACAATTCCCTAATGAATAGGACTGTTTGTTGGTTTTTTAACAAGACATTTTCAAATGCAAATGCCAATATTTTATGAGCCCTGCATTCAGATGTGTCCCTAGAGGCTATTCTTTTTCAAAGCTGCTCAGTTGTAATCCAGAAACATGTGGCCCAGAAAAAAATTCTGTTTGATTGTCCTTATTTGGATTGGGATATTGCCAGCCAAAGTAGCATCCTCGGCTTCATGAATTGCTATTCATGGGGGTAGGCAGCTGATGGGGAGGTATTCTTCAGAGATGGATATTATCCTTACTCATACTGCCTAACAACACAATTTATAACTTCATTTTCTTAGTGTGAACCAATCCAAGTCTTATGATTACCCTAGTTAGAGCACAGACTCTGGATTCAGAAAAAGTGGGTTGTTCAAAGCCTGGATTCTCCATTCAGTGCTCCCTTTCTTTAAACAAGTTACTTCACTTTTATGGTTCCTAACTTCATTATCTGTAAAATAAGCACAACGACAATGCTGACCTCACAACTTTGATCTGAGGGTAAAATGCAGCACAATATCTGACAGTGAAAGTCAAATATAGCCACTCTTTGTTGTACTCACCAAATGCAGATATTTCTGGGTACATAACACATTAAGAGATATAATTTATGCCTCCTAGTGAACATATCAAATTATTTCTTGAAAGCGGTTTTTGATCATGGGA